GGAGGTGTTACTCAAGGGACACACCTTATTGCTTAGGCATTTCTTCATATCGTTAGTTTACTTTTCTATCATCGAAGTTTCATTTATTTAGTTTTACGAACTTGGCTGTTGTGAACGGGGTCATCAGAAGACTCGGAAATAATAATGGCTAGCAGATTATAGCCGGCTGTTATTATGTTTATATGAAGACACCACCAATGTCGGCGACCCACTTAAGAAAGAACTTCCGGTTGCATTTCAAAATAAGAGCAACATCAATTAGTTTTGTTTTGTTTTTCCTTTTAGTATTTATTTTTTTAGATATTTAGAAATAGAGTTTATTTTTAATGATACATTGCCATTTCGTTTAAAAAAAATCCATTTTGGCTGCTAACATTTATGTGAAAGTAGTGAAAGTCAAAGGTGAAAGGAAAAACGAACCAGAAGAACCAATGTTTTAAAAAAACAGAGCAAGTACGGTTGAGAAACGCCTACTTTGAGTCTGYAGAGAACCCCTTCTCAACTTGTCTGGTGTGCCCACGTTTCTGCCCCCGACTGCTGGAAAACATTTAAGAGACTAGACCTGGGCAGTAAATCAAAAGCAATATGTATAACGACAGACAAGCGATCGATATCAATAGAACTGTGTCTAATAGAAAGTTGACAATTTCACCAAACTCTGATCCGGAACTGCACAGCATTCTGGGGGATGTAGGCAGAGGGAATACTTTAGCCCCTTGACCTCTCACGGCTCAGCTAAGCAAAGTTGGTGGCATAAGCTAGCAACAACCCGCTGAATAAGACGAGCTGTAGCATTTTTACCTTTCACCACCGTGCTTCAGAACTGCTTCAAAATAAAAAGAATGACATGGAGTGAAAGAAGACGAGGAGCCACAGCTCAAGAGGAAATTGTAGCTAAAAGAGGAAAGGTCACATCACCAGTTTGGCAGGTTTAATCAGCGTTTTTTCCTCCCGGTCCTTATTTTAAATTAATAAAACAAAAAAGCTAATACATAATTATCYATATCGACTGATATGTAACGATTATATCATGATTTTTCAGCCCTATTGACCAGCCCTATRATAAATGCTGTTCACCAACTAGTTTCAGCCCAGCAAGACACTACCTAGGGTATAATGTTGATAAAAAGATTCTCTCATCATTTGCTTTGGTTTAGACTGAACATGCTGCAGCAGTGAGCTTTTAGGGAGGACTGAGGACTCACAGCTGCATAGGAAAACCTTGCCCTTTATAACTGTAAGGGGAGTCTTGCAGTGATGTGGTGTTTTGATTGAGATTTTCTCTGTGTCAGTATTCTCTTATTATTATTATTTTCTTACATTTAAACGGAAAGTTTCTCATCTCTGCGACACTTAATCTTCACAAAGCATCACCATCATTAAAGACAGATAAAGAGCAAAAAGAAAGGAATAAATGAAGGGATAAATCCTGGAATTTGTGTAACATTTATGGGAGATGAGCACACTCCGTGGGCTGCCAACCTCACACAATACGTGACCGTGTTGTGTTTTGAGTTTATAACAACTTAACAATGACTGATCATAACAGACGGGACTGCTTTGATTGTTGAGCTCTCGATGAATGGCACTGCAGATCATAATGTTTTGTGTTTTTGTGTGTCACACACTGGGAGATAATCCAGCATGACCAGAGGAAAAGGTGTCATTGTATAATTTGTAACACTGCAAGAGATTTTTGTAGCTGCTTTACTTGCATTTAGAAATTGGGTTAAAACAAAACATTTAGGAAGAAAAGTGATACCAGTTGCATTTTGTTTCCCCCGTTGATCCAGACTTTTTACACAGGCGTGAATAGACTCATGCAAACTCTGGTGCGGACAGTGTTGCCAGGTGGGAAATGTTGAGTTATCGTATCAGCAGCTCAAAATTATCGTATTTTGAGGAAAATTATCGTACACAACCAAGTTACATTCTAGAGAGGCTCAAATTTA